GCCCTCCCTCTACTATAGCAGTAGCAGGTCAGAGTCAACAAACCTGATCCTCTCCTAAACGCCACTCCCACTGAGTTGGCCAAAAGTACAACCCAGCACCATGTCTACCTAATACTGTAGCATCCTGTACACTACAACCTGTGCCACAGAGAGCCACAAAGGACGCCTCAACGTCACCTGGACAAAACAGCAGTGGTCCTAAAGTCCCCTCCACCATAAGCATGGGATAAAGCCTCAGAAAGAGCTCCCCATGACAACCAGAACAAAAGCACAAACCAGGCAATGGGAATTGTCTCACACACTGATAAGCTCTTAGGCAGGGACCTCACAAGAGGCTCTCAGTGTGGGTCAGCTCATGCATCCTAAACTCAAGACCTCTGGACTGCACAGCTGTACCCTCAGCCCTCAAAATGTCCTGCTAAAGACCCTAGAGGTGCAGGACAGACAGGCAGGAGGCAAAATCCCATCTCACCTGGAGACACTGCAGCTTCATCACATGCTACACTCCCTTTAAAAATGCCCAGTTACACTTTCAAGAAAAGAAAGGAAGGTGACAAATTTGGCTGGGCTTAAGGTACTAGAAAGGACCATTCTTGGTCAGGATGCTTGTGATGCCAAACCCAGGTTTGCAGCAGCTGATGAGCAGCTTGGCTGCAGGAAGCATTGTGATGCTGATGGAACTCAATGCAAGGGGAAAAAACAGGGAGGAAATGGCATTCTGTGATGGATATTCATGAAGGGCGCTTCCTAATTTAAAGGAAAACAAGTTTAGAGTTCTTACTGCATTAATTCATGTGAGAGAACATTTTTATCCGAACTGTTACATTTCTGAGCGAGGCGCTAACACTCTCCAGGTCTGCCCAGATACACTAATTTGGGGAGGGTGTGATTTGTCTTAGTCAATGCAAAACATTGGAAGCTGCTTCTGAGCTTTCCAAGCAGGAGAGGAATGGCCGCTTTAACCACACCAGCAACAAGGAAGACTGGCTTCTCTCAGCTCCTGCTGTGCACACTGTGCAGAGAAAGCTCTTCCTGGCAACAGACACAGATGTTGCAACCATCCCCACTGTACAGACAGGAGACAAGGAACTTTCCTGGGGTACTCGGCTAATGACTGATCCAGCCAGGAACTGAAAGCACATGTCAGTCTCCAGAGCAAAACTATAGCTCCCAGAAAAAAGCAGACTTTAACTAGGCATCTGGCTGAGATGTGTAGCTTTTCTTGGTGATAATCCTCCTGACCAACTTCAAGTGGAGACAAATTCCACTCAAGATGTCCCATACAAAGTCAGGCGGTCTGACACGGTGGTAAGGAGCCATAATGTCAAACTGCTCAGACACTTCAAATGGTTTTCAACAGGGCTGAAGAGATGGCTTAGCAGTTACGAGCACTGGCTGCTCTTCCAGAGACCCTGAGTTCAATTCCCAGCACCCACATGGCAGCTCACAACTGTCTGTAACTCCAGTTTCAGGAGACCTGACACCTTTACAGCAATGCACATAAAATAAAGTTAAATAAATTTTTAAAAATCTTAAAAATTGTTTTCAAAATCTGTTCATTGTTTTTATTCTGCCAGAAAAGCAGGCCCTAGAGTGTTTTTAAAATCTCTGCATTTTTTTTCTAAAGTTAGAGTCTTGCTATGTTACCCAGGTTAGATTCAAACTCCTGGGTTCAGTGATCCTCTTGTCTCAGCCTCACCAATAATGCACTGAAGATTTAGACCACTGTTCCTGGCTGATGTCTCCCATCTGAATCATGAGCTGAACAGATCTGTTCCGTGCAGAAGGAGTGAGCTTTCTTAAGGCAAGACCTCAATATAAACTAAGGCACAGCAGCTTATTTACCCATGGCTGGCTTTCCAGGAGACCTAGAGAATACACACGTTCCACCTCCTATAACAAATGGATTAGAAAGGCTCACCTTGAATTGCATTCTTCCAGGGTGCTTTCCATGCCAGCAACATCAACAGAAAATAACCATTAGAAGCTTAACTGCGCTCAGTTGGTGACCTTCACTAAGCTAAATTCAGCAGTTTGTCAGCTACAAAACATTAAATGGACACAATTAAGAATTAAGAAGTTTGAAAGCATGAAACAGAATTTCAACTAAAGATACATGAAAATCAGTGGAAATATAAATGACAGGACTCTAGGTTCACAATATCTGACATTCTTGCTTCATCTGGAAGGCAGAACAGAGACATGTATATCGGCTAGACAAAGCTTGGCAGCCCATCCTTCCTCCACTCCAATACACCACATCTAATCATAATAAAATGTCTTCAGCAGTTCCTAAATTTTGCTACTGCCTTTGTGTGCCATCATCATTAAAAATCCACAGAGGCTGTGGAGAGGACCTCAGTTTCTAAAGTGCTTATGCATGAGGGCCTGAGTCTGGATTCTCAGCACCCATGTAAAAATGTCACACACACTGGAGAGGGCTTGCTGGCCAACCAGTCTGACTGAACAGCCAATTCAGGACATGGTGAGAGACTCTGTCTCAAAAAAATAAGATGGAGAAGGGGGAGAGCAGTGGAAAGGAACACTCGGCACTCGACCTGGGCACTGGTGCACACAAATACAGATGCACATGAATGAACATATACACCTGTATCAACCCCACAACACAGACTTTTTGACACATTACAAGTAAGAAAAAGCAGGCTCAAACTGGAGGTGGAACTCAGTGGTACAGTGGTAGTGCTTTTGCCTAGTATGCGTGAGGCCCTGGGCTAACTATTCAGCACCAAAAAAGAAAAAAAAAAGAGCAGAAGAAATAATGGGCTCAGAAAACAGGACAAATCACTCAGCTTCACAGTTATTGAGTGACTGCGCTGAGAGCCAAATCCAGGCCTGATCCCAGACCCAACTTTCTTTCCCCACAACCTTAGACTCAAGAATTACAGATACTTTTTTTCTTTCCTTGGGATCGGAAGGAACACTAATGTTTCACAGAATTTTTTCTGTGCTTTCTGCGTCTGAGAATAAAACTGAAAGCATCCACCTGGAACTGCAGCATTAAATATCAGTAGTTACAGAGGACAGAGAAGGCTAATAACCAAATGGCTTCTCCTTGGAAAAAAACATTGTTTACCAACAAAAATCAGGAACTATTTGAGACCCTTTTATCAAGATTCCAGCTCCAGCATCAGGAGGCAGAAGAGTCTGAAAGAAGCGGTAACAAGCAGTGTCTTCAAACAATTGCTCCAGCCGGGCCAGGACAACCAACAACCAAGGAAACTTGCTGCAGAGTCCCGGTGCCACAAAGGCATGGGGGTAGGGCAGTGAGGGAACACCCATTGGAGGAAGTCTATCTTCAGCAGGGGCTTGAAGGAAGTGAAATGGAGAACGTGCTCAGGGGACTGGAACAACAGCCTTAGAAGCAGTCAGAACATGGACAACTTGGAGAAGCAAAGGCCAGGAAAAAGTCAGGTTTAGGTGAGAGGAATGAAGCCAAACCTAAAAGACCCTTGACCGGAGATGGAGGAACAGTAAAGGCTGACACCACAAAGCAGGCAGGATATTATTCTGCTTTGAACAGTGGTCTAACTACCGTGGCCCCCCTAAGCTCACCTCCTGCCCTCCATCCTCTTCCTTCCACCTTCTGCATGGCACCGCGCCCTCCCACACTCCCGTTGCTAGAATACGCCTGCCCCTAGAACAGTTTTAACTTTGGCCTAATGTTCGAGATCTTTCAGGAACCAAGCCTAATCAATAGTTCCTCTTACTCCTCTCCCATCTTGGCCTTCGGCTAGGAGGCTGGTCTAGTCACTAACTCCACAGGATCCTTTTTCCCCCCATCTGAATCCTACTTGTCCTTTGCCACCCTTTCACTAAGCCCCACCACCACCCCTACCTCTGCCTCTCTATAGCACGCAACCTTGTCTCATGGGCAATGTCTGAACACCCAGTGTAAAAGCCTTGGTTGGAGATTAGTGTTTCGACTCCTTTCGTCCACTACTCAACAGCATTTTGACATTTACTAAACAAGCAAGCACTCAACTATTTTTCTACTTCCTATACTAAGTTTGGCGTTAGCATAAAGGAAGGATGGGGGAGGGTGAAACCTCTGGAGTCAGAGACCAGCTAAGAAGCTGTTGCAATAATCCAGATGTGAAGCAAAAGCAGCCTAGACTAAGGAACAAAGAGAAAATGGGCAAACACAAACAGCAAAATGCTTGCATGCAAAACGCTCCACAGGAAAACTATGAACGACAGCAAGGAACGACGAAGGCTCAGTAAAGCTATTTCCAAGAAAACACTTCTGCGAATCATTTTAAACCTCCCTGAGACAAAGTGCACGAAGGGGTTAAAAAGTCTACATCTGGAACGTTAAAAAAAAATGTCTTCAGTAAAACTGCCCCGCATGCTGAACCAGGCACAGACCTTGCAATGTCAGATATTCACAGCATGACGAGTCTGTAGGGAGTTCACCTAAACTCTCAATTCTCACGTGGAGGAACGTCCAGCATGGAAGAGACGTGCTGAAAACCTAAAGGTGGTGCGTCCCAGATCTGAGTAGCCCCAAAGCAGTCACTTCGCCTAGACAAGCAGTGTTTTACACGCCCCCTCCCCAGTCCGTCCTCAGCTCCGCCGGAGTGACCACGGAGACCACCCCGGCCAAGCTTGGCACGCGTCGCCTGTTTACCTGGCGCAAGGCGGTGGCCCGAGGCAGCAGTTCCAGGGCAGCCTCCCGCTGACGCCCCCAGGCCGGGCCTGGCTCTCCGGGGGCCACGGTCACTCGGACCCCTCGGTACAGGAAGGAGAGCGAGGCGCCCAGGAGAGAAGGCTGGAGGGCTGCAGGGCAGCCGCCCCGACTCACCCCTCGGAGCCAAGCGCCTGGCCTCCGGCAGGTGCCCGGGCCTCTGGACCGCGCCCGGCCGGCCCCCGCACTGACCAGACAGCGTCTCGCCCGCCCCGCCTCACCCACGAGGAGCCGGACAGCCGCTCCACCGGCCGTCCCGGCCCTGCCACCTCCGCCCGCGACCCGCCAGCCTCACCTGGGCCGCGCGCCGCGTTCACATCGCCCGCCCGCGGCGCCCCCTCCGCCGCCGCCGCCGGCGCAAGGCCCTTCCCCGCCGCTCCCGCTGCCGCCCCTGCCCGCGCCCTCCGCCCCCGGAAGCGCTTCCAGGCCCCGCCCCCTCGGCGCCCGCGCTTCCGGGCAGGCACGGAGCCGGGCGGTTGTCGCTGGGCCGAGTCTCTTCGCGGCGGAACTCTGGATACCGGGCGGAGCCGCGGACGAAGAGTGGACAGGCGGGCGGCTGAGCTGCAGCCCGGCTCTGGAGCCCGCCCGGAGTCCCGACTCTGCTGCCCGTGGCCTTCCGCCCGCCTTCTCGGTGCCCCCTGCTGGCCAGAGCCGGACCTCCCGGACCCTAAAGCTGCCGAAGGCTCACACCTGCGGCCGCCTTCCTCTCACATTTTAATTCTTCTATTTTTATTCATTTGGGGTTTTGTTTTGAGACAAGGGTTCAAAAACAGAATTCCCCTACTTAGCGGAGGCTGACCTTGAACTCACAGAGATTCTCTAGGGTTAGGATTACAGGAATGGGCCTCTATGCCCAGCCTCCTGGGCAGGTTTTCTCTGCTGCAAATAAACAAACAAACAACAACAAAAAAAAAACTACCTGACTTTAAAACAAGAGTCCACGGGCCGGGCGGTGGTGGCGCACGCCTTTAATCCCAGCACTCGGGTGGCAGAGGCAGGCGGATCTCTGTGAGTTCGAGACCAGCCTGGTCTACAAGAGCTAGTTCCAGGACAGGCTCCAAAACCACAGAGAAACCCTGTCTCGAAAAAAAAAAAAAAAAAAAAAAAAAAAAAAGAGTCCACGGATGGCTCAGCAGTTAAGAGCGCTGACTACTCGGGTGCAATTCCCAGCACCCACATGGCAGCTCACACCTGTGATCCAACGCCCTTCTCTTGGTCTCCTCAGACACCAAGCACGTGGTGCACAAATACACATGGCCGGGAAACACCCATACACATACAATCAAAAATTAATAACTTTAAAAATTCTTTTAATTTCCAAAGAAAGTTCTCTAGATCAGTAGATCCAAAACACAGGAAAGCTTGTCAGGCCAGACTACCTCAGGGCAGCTATGTGGTTTATAGTTCGCAGCAGTGATCTTTCCCTCTAAACTCAGCCTTGGCCTCATCTCAACTGATTATATATATATATATATTTGGGGGGGGGGGTCAATACAGAGTTTCTCTGTAGCTTTGGAGTCTGTCCAAGACCTAACTCTTGTAGACCAGGCTGGCCTCGAACTCAGACTTCCACCTGCCTCTGCCTCCCGAGTACTGCAATTAAAGATGTGCGCCACCACCGCCCAGCCTAACTGATTCTTACTAAACGTATGGGTACCAGCCTGGATTTCCTTGACTGAAGCAGTGTTTGCACATTGTTGAGGACAAGGGAGACTAAAATGTTCTTGCGTATTTGACCTTCCTGCCAAGTGTCTGAAACTTACTGCCTGTCTACTCCTGCTACTCCACCCCAGCCCTCTTTGCAGTCTCGTTTGGCTAAAGGTATCTGTGTGGGCAACTATTGGAATCGTTAGAGTCGGGACTCAGAAGTCTTCCTTGAGTCCTCTCACTTGGTCAACTCGGGATGGACACCTGATGTGTTCCACTTACCTCCTACCAAAGTAGTACAGGACCAGCAGGGGGAGCCTGTCGCTTTTTAACAGACCTGTGCAGAGAGTTCCTTCACTATGCTGTCTCTGCAGAGAACTTGGAACACACACACACACACACACACACACACACACACACACACACGGCCATAGCACTCTCTTCTTTGGAGACCTACCTCTGGTGCCCACTCCCACTGTCTGCATGATGGAGGCAGGTAGTGATTCTGACCTCCGGGCTTCTCTTCTGTTCAATGGTAATGAGGCTGAGGCGTGCGATTGGTAGAGTCCCCTGCCCCCTCACACCTCCCAGTAGAGGATGCTATATATAGTTAAAGAGGCAGGTTCGAACCAAAGTGCCACTGAGCTACACTGGAGCTTCTGATCTTGAAGCGAGGCACTGGATCCTGGCCTCAGATATTCTTGATCAGCAAGAAGCAAACTGGTAAGGATGGCTTCAAGACCTCCAACTATTTCCACCTAGCCATTTCTCCCTTCCCAGAGAGATGTCTTATTCTTTCCTTTGCTCCTACATCACCCTGCCCAGCTTCCAGGGAAGTGCAGCTTCCAAGTGGGTCTTACCTCTCCTGGACCTGAGCCCTGTGACATTTGCTCTCTAGTTTTCCCATTGATTCACCAGCCCTGTTCCTGGTAATTGACTCTCCAACACTGTCCTTTGTAATTGACTCTCTTGGTCCTCTGTACTTCTCTGTAGTAATCACAGTGTGATTAATTAATGCTCTGTGCAATTGTGTGCTAATTATCTGCATTACCCACCGCTGTCTTGTAAACCACATAAGGATGAGAACTTGTTTCTTTCCTATTTCTTCAACAGGACTTAATAAACATGTGTCGAAATAGTAGGAACCTCTAAGAGTATGTTGCAGAGGGCAGGGACTGTTTCCATGGGGGGGGGGGGTGGAGGCAAGAGTGCAGAGGTGTTTGTGCATGCTCGTGTGTGAAAGCCGGAGGTAAACCTCGACTGGTGCCCGTAGGAACTATCTACCATCTCTTGTTGGCCTGGGGAATTCACCAAGTAGGCTAGACTAGTTAGGTGGTCACTGAGCTTCGGGGCTCTGCCCGCCTCTGCCTTCCCAGTACTGAGATTACAAGTGCGTGCATCCCTGGCTTTTCACGAGTTCTAAGCTCAGCTCAGGTCCTCATGCTGGCATAGCAAGTGCTTTACCAGTTGTTTCCCAAGCCCCAGGCTCCGGTCTGTCTTCCTGATGGCCTGGAGAGAATGCAGTCCTGAAGGGGTAGTATTAGTCATTGCAGAATGAGTGAATGGATGGACAAAAGAATGAACCGATGCTGACTGAACCAACAGGCAGGCAGATCACCCATCTCTTTTTCCCCTTCACATCTTCATGTCTGAAGATGATCTCTTGGTCCTGACCAGCTGTTGCTGCAGCTAGCCCCATAAGCAGGTGGGTGAGAGAAGCCCGATGCCATTCACATTTGAGACAGTGTCTTGTTAAGGTACTCAAGCAGGTCTTGAATTTTTGATCTCCTGCCTCAGACTCTCAAATAGCTGGGATTATAGGCCTGCATTGCCAGGCCTGGTAAGTTCATGAACCTATTTAATATTTTCTTGCTCATCTGAAAATGGGCCTTTCACTGAATTTCTGAGGTCTGTGTGTGCAAATGCACACATATGCATTTATGTATGTGAATATGAACACTCACATTGTTATGCCCAGACTGCTTGCATCCAAAGAGACCACCAGGAATCCAGGACTTGGATGCAAAAGCAAGGTTTATTGTACGAGCATAGGCAAGGAACTCGTCCAGCACACTCAACACAGTGAGTGTGGGAGGAACTGTCTTCCAGAGATTATAGGAGTTTTTATAGTCAATCTCGCAGGACCACCAGTTCTCACCTAATTTGCATACCCGGACCTAATTGAGGACAGCAAACGATCACAATCACAAAAGGGCTTGAAGTTTATTTATTTATTTATTTTTTTTTTTTTTTTTTGGTTTTTCGAGACAGGGTTTCTCTGTGGTTTAGGAGCCTGTCCTGGAACTAGCTCTTGTAGACCAGGCTGGTCTCGAACTCACAGAGATCTGCCTGCCTCTGCCTCCCTGGGTGCTGGGATTAAAGGCGTGCACCACCACCGCCCGGCAGGCTTGAAGTTTAATAAGCATGATATCATTATGCAAATGACCTAGGTATGTTCTCAGTTGGCCCGGTCTTATCTGTCCTTGGGGTGTGTAGATAGATGAAGCATACTATGGACATATTTTTGATTGGTCAGTTCTTGGCTATCCTTGAAGCAATGTTCTCCCAGTTGTTATTGGCTCCTGTGATGGCCCTTGTCATGTATGAAGTGTTTCTCAAAATAGCCCAGCCTATGCAGTGTGATTCAGGCGGAAAGCAGTTAGGTCACTCCGACCAGTTTCATTTCTTTCAGCATGTCACAGTGCCTGTTGGAGTCAGAGGACAACCTTGGGCTTTGTGCTCACCTGCTACCCCATTTGTGGCACGGCTTTTGTTGGTCACAGCTGTGTAGCCAGATTGGTGAGTTTCCTGTCTCCATCTGCCATCTCACCATAGGAGTAGGAGATTACAGAAGCAGGCATCCACATCTGGGTTTCGGTTTGTTTGTTTTGTTTTGATATACATTTTCTTTTCTTTTTTAAAATTTCTTTTCTTCTTTTTAGATTTGTTTATTTATTTTTAATGTATACTGGGGTTTTGCCTGCATATATGTCTGTGTGAAGGTGTCAGATATCCTAGTACTGGAGTTACAGACAGTTGTAAACTGCCATGTGGGTGCTGGGAATTGAACTCTGGTCCTTTGGAAGAGCAGTCAGTGCCCTTAACCGCTGAGCCATCTCTCCAGCCTTCTCTTTTATTTTTTTTTTTTTTAAAGAAAACAAACTATCTTTTTTCATTTTACATACCAATCCCAGTTCGCACTCCCTCCCCCCACATTTGGTTTATGTAGGTTCTGGGGATTTGAATTCATGCCCCCAAGTTTACACAGCAGGTCTTTACCCATTGAATCCTTTACCTAGCCCAAATTTCTTTCATTAAAGAATCTATTCTTTTCTAAATTTTAAAGATTCCTGGACTTCAAAGACATGCTGTGTTTTATCTGTTTTGTTTTGTTTGGGTTATTTTGTTTTGGGTTTTTGGTATTTTTGGCCAAATGCAGCCATGAATACAGGGATCAATGATGTTCTTGACCAGGGCTGTTGCTGCTGCTGCTTCTTCTTCTTCTTCTTCTTCTTCTTCTTCTTCTTCTTCTTCTCCTTCTCCTTCTCCTCCTCCTCCTCCTCCTCCTCCTCCTCCTCCTCCTCCTCCTCCTCCTCCTTCTTCACTAAGACAAGATTTCTCCGTGCTTTGGAGCCTATCCTAGAACTCAGTCTGTAGACCAGACTGGCTTCGAACTCAGAGATGAGACTGCCTCTGCC